CGAAAAATGTAATAAGCATTAGGTGAAAGGCCAGTTGTTATTGGTTGCTCTAATAGAATAGACCAACCTAGCTCAATATATTATTAATGTCTTATTGTCCCTCCCTTGTTATGGAGGCGAAGAATATTTTTATTTAATTCACCGTATACGCTGCGACTGACATGCAAAACGATGTTATATTAGTGGATGCTAAATGTATTTTTAACTGACTCGCACTTTTAGTAGTTAGAAATCTACACGTGTCATTACAAGTGGTTCCTCAAAACGGAAATTAAATTCTCTTTTGCTAGATATCATCCCATATTGGAGTCACGATGGATGAGAAATTATTGGTTTACGTCATCAAACATCTTCGAAACGGGACTGATAAGCCTAGAACTATAGCAGACACAGTTTAGGGTCATTATATATACGAATAATTAATTGCCCTGTCGGTTAGGCCTAGAATATGTCAATTGCGTACCCCATTGAAGATTTAATGCTCCCGTAAGGGGATAATCACCAGATGCATGCTTACAGACTCGGGCTATCAACTAAATGAGTGTCTACATTTTCAATTCAGTGTATGCTATACATATATGTACATGTTTAAAAGGACATTGGCTGCTTTCATTTTAGTCAGGTGATAACCGATTCTGTATCTACGTTATTTATTCTTGCGTTAACCGGATATATATTTATGTTTTATACCTGCGAAAAATGTCCCTATGCCTAGGTTTCTTTTACTCTTGTGTAAAAATAGTTGATATCTACATGTTACAGGGTTTATAGCTTCTTTTTTTAATTCTAATGTGAAGCAGTCGTAGAACGATATGTCTGACGATAGTGTAAATCGTAACTACGTACATGTGCACATTAATTGAAACAAATTGTATAATTATTTACTTTTTTTCGTATTTTTGCAATGAAACATGACCCAGTACACATGCTAGTACTTCGTATATCCATTCCACAATGTCTTTCTTTGCAGATTGGCCACAAAATCTCGACTGGATTTAAATCAGTAGTGTTTCCGAGCCAGTTGATAATACTTTGATTTGGTCACTGGTAAGGTTTGCCATTGTTCTTCCTTGGAGTAACATCCATGTCAGGCAATGGCCGCAGGACAACTAATCGACAGTCGAGGCAATATGTGTCAGGGCGCGATTAAAATCTGATGCAAGCACAGATGACGCAATATTTTTCATGGCCGAACAAATTTCATCATACACCCAGAAAATATATTCATATTACTGCACACCACTCAAATGACCTAATCCGAGGAAAAAATATGTACCGATTACACCCTGTCACTCTAGTGGGTTTAAAACTGACTGTATGTTGAAAGAATGGAAACTAAAGCAGTTGTTTCAATTAATTTGCAAAAGGGTGTATGCTTATCTGTTTGACTCTTGTGTAAAGCGGATAGATTTTTAGATTTTGACTAGTGTAATCTGGATATATGCGTCTGCTCTAAACTTAGCAGCACAATCATTTTGTACTGTAGTTAAAACCGGATCATTGTATAACTATTTCTCTGGGGTGAACCAAACTATGTCTACTATTTTGACGATAAAGAAAAACGTTTTTTATGTTTTTCCTTCTAAACTGGGTATATATATTTTTTGTATTCTGGTGTAAACGGGAATTATGACTATCGTATTTTTCCTATTACCCAAGGCAAGACGGGAAAGCGACTACGGCACATGGGGTAACTGAATGTGGAAAAAAACAAGACAAGTAAATAGAGACATATCTAGAATAATAAAAGAGTAATCAAGAAAACCGTAGACAATAATCGACATTGCATTAATTTTTTTTAAATCAAGTTTAGCAGGAAAGCATGAAGCTGGAAGAGTGTTGCACAAACGAGAAGTGCAGGAAGAATTTGTTAGCCTAGATCTTACGGTTACAGCTAGTCAATTCAGCTGTGAATTTCTTTGACCTTGCCGCAAAGCTAATAGAGCGTTTAAATTTGTAAAGTCTAGGTCGCATAGCGAAGAGTTAATCCGAACTATTACCATAAATTATTTATTGAAAAGGACGCATGGACGCAACATTTTAGTGGCCAGAAACTAACTGAAGCTGATATGCCAGATCAGGACCAATAATATTGCTGATTCTTCTTTGGATGTTATCAAGAATCTCTGAATATACAGTATAGACCATATGTGGCAGCAATAGTCTAATCATGGATGAATGGTAGACATATGTGAATATCTAAGATAGATACAGGAGAAAAAAATTGTCTATCACGACACAGTGGACCAACTTTTTTAGAAGCTGAACTAGCATTGGATTCAATATAATCTTTCTACTCCATATTAGCAGGGAGTTTTAGACCAAAAAAGTGCAACGAGTCATTCTCTTGGAGGCTAGTATTAGCCATGTGGATGGAAGGTAGAAAGGGGTTTATCAGGTGATTAGGGTAAACCGAGCCAAACCTATGTTTTTATCACCAGTGTAAACTGAACCTATGTCTATGTTTTATTTTATTATTATTATTGTAAACAGGAACTGCAAGGAAATTAAAAAGTCACTTCCTATTTTATATATGACGGACTCTCCCATCTAACTGTAATTTTTACGGGACGGAAGAATCCATTATACGATGCAAGGAAATGAAAGACAGTAATGGAGGGAGATGGAAAGAAAGAACAAATTAGACATGGAAAATAGGATGGGAGAGAAGAGGAGGGTGGGAGTTGAAAGGAAGAAACCAAACAACTAAGACAAAATGGAACGGGAAAAAAATGAACGAAGACTGCTGGAAGTAAAGAAAGAAATAAAATAGGAAGGAAGGAAGGAAGGAAGGAAAGCGCTAAGTAAGGGAGGAAAGAAGAAAGTAATTATTTTAAAATTTCAATAGGGAAATAACTATGGAAGGAATGACCCAAAAATTAAAGAATGTTAAGACAGAAATGAATGTAACGATTAAATGAATGACAAAAAGAAGCAATAATAACCAAGAGAGATTGGGAGGAGTAAAGCATAAAGGAAAGAAAGCTGGGATAGAATGAATGAAGAGAGGAATGAACAATGAAGACAGTGTCAAAAGAAGGAAGGAAGGAAGGAAGGAAGGAAGGAAGGAAGGAATTAAAAATGGCACTAAGTTAGGGTGGCTGGGAGGAATGATAAAGAAATGAAAAAAAATTAGGAGGGAATTAATGAAAGAATAAATGAAGGAAAGATGGAAGCAATAATAAACACTAAATAACAAGCGAGGATTAAATTAGGAAAAAAAGAAGAAAGACAAATAGAAAAGAAAGAGCCATAAGGAAGAATCCATCATACATCTAATATGGAGTTACTTTTCAATCACCCTGCATGACTATCATTTGGTTTTCACTGAAAACTGGACTGATATTTAAGCTTTGATTCCAGTATAGACTAGATCTATCTATCTATCTATCTATCTATCTATCTATCTATATATATATATATATATATAATTTTATTTCACTTTTAATCGGATTTATCTCTATAACTACTCTAGCGTAAGCCGTTTCACTATCTATCTTTTAAACTCCAGTGTAAATGGGACCTCTTTCTATCTTTTTGATTCTACTGTAAACAAGAATAATTTTTTTTTGCTCTATTTTAAACAGGACATATATCTATCGTTTTGACTCTAGTGTAAAAGGAATGCGTGTCTGTCTTTTTCACTCTCGTTTAAATCAGACCTATAATGAATTTTATAAAGTGAATCTTTTTTGCATTTACCTTGAACCTGAAATTACCGAACATATGTTGATCTGTCAACCTAAACCAAACCGATTGTATAAATGAATTTGCATAGATAATAATAAAATAAGAAGAGAAAGAAAAAGAAGTGGAAGAAGAAGAAGATTAAGGATAATAGTAATAAAAACAATAATAATATGAAGAAGAAGATTATTATTAGCAATTATAAGAAGAAAATTAAGTATAATAATAATAATAATAATAATAATAATAAGAAGAAGAAGAAGAAGAAGAAGAAGAAGAAGAAGAAGAAGAAAAAGAAGAAAATTAAGGAGAATAATAACAATAAGAAGAAGAAGAAGAAGAAGAGGAAGAAGAAGTAGAAGATTTATAATAATAATAATAATAATAATAAGAAGAAGAAGAAGAAGAAGGAAAAGAAGAACAATAAATTTAGGAGAATAATAATAATAATAATAAGATTAAAAATAATAATAATAAGAAGAAAACGAAGAAGATAAGAAGAAAAGAAGAAAAAATTAATAATAATAAGAAGAAGAAGAAGAAGAAAATTACTACTATTACTACTACTACTACTAATAATAATAATAATAATAATAATGATAATAATAATAATAATAATAATAATAATAATAATAATAATGATAATAATACGGAAATATGGGGTTTCGGTTCATAACTACGCCAAGACGACGAAATATTTTTGTAAAATTAAATTTCAGGCCATTAAAACCACTCCTGAGAAGTCAAAAGCGACGAACGACGAAAGGGCTCGAACGGATTTAAAAATAGAAAACATTTTGGGAGAGCACGGTGGGTGGGGAGCAGGTTAGCTGGTGGTTGGGCAGGTGTATCTAGGTGGTGGGTGAGACAAACGGGGCTATGTAAAGCGTGGTGTATTCAACGAAAGAGGAGTGGGGATGAAAAATTGAATTAACATCAACCAAAGTAGAGATTGCTATAAAGGGTTGCCAGAAGGTGTAAAAAATTCAATTAATAAAGGGGCGGGTTGAAGACGAACGGAAAAGAAAAGAACTTTTTTAAAATATGATTAATTAAAATATGAAAAGCAAAGGCGAAGTGATTTAGAGTGTGTTCATCAAATACTAATATTGTTATTACTAGCAATGATAATAATAATAGAAATGGTAATAAAAAGTGAAAAGTAAATAATAATAATAATAATAATAATAATAATAATAATGAACGTGGGAAAAACAAAATAGAAATAAAAATATTGATGATGTATAGCGTCTAAATTTGGAAATTTTCAAAAATAGTTTTAATTAAATTGTCATTTTGATTTTCACCTGATATTATCTGCGTTTGAAAAGAGATAAAAGGTGAATAGGAAGGAAGGAAGGAAGGAAGGAAGGAAGGAAGGAAGGAAGGAAGGAAGGGAGAACTAAGGAAGAAAGGGGGGATGAAACAAGAAAGGAAGGAAGTGGGGAATGAAGGAAGGAAGGAAGGAAGGAAGTGGGGACGAAGCAAGCAAGCAAGGAAGGACGAAAGAGGAAACGAAGCAAGGAAGGAAGGAAGGAAGGAAGAATGGAAGGAAGGAAGGGAGGGAGGAAGGAAAGGAACCAACCAAAAAAAGAAGGAAGGGGGAACGAAGGGAAGAAGGAAGGAAGGAAGGAAGGAAGGAAGGAAGGAAGGGGAACCGAAGGGAAGAAAGAAAGAAAGAATGAATGAATGAATGAAGGAAGGAAGGAAGGAAGGAAGGAAGGAAGGAAGGAAGGAAGGAAGGAAGGGGAAGGGGGGAAGGAAGAAAAATATGAATGAGTGAATGAAGGAAAGGAAGGCAGGAAGGGGGAACGAAGGGAAGAAAGAAATAATGAATAAATGATTGAATGAAGGAAGGAAGGAAGCGGGGAGGAAGGCGGAATTAAACAAGAAAGGAAAGAAGGAAGGAAGGGGGGACTAAGGAAGGAAGGCAGAATGAAACAACAAAGGAAGGAAGATAGGAAGGGGGAACCTAGCAAGCAAGGAAGGAAGGAAGGAAGGGGAAAGGAAGCAAGGAAGGAAGAGACAACGAAGGAAGGAAGGCAGGAAGAAATGGAGAGGGAAGAAAGAAGAAAAAATAAAGAAAGAAACTAAAAGACAAAAAAATAAGTGGATGGATGGAAGTACGTAGAGGGTATGAATGAATGAAAGCAAAAATCTACATGGATGGGTGGGTGGATGAAAAGATGCAAGGAAATGAAAGACAGTAAGAGAGGGAGATGGAAAGAAAGAACAAATTAGACATGGAAAATAGGATGGGAGAGAAGAGGAGGGTGGGAGTTGAAAGGAAGAAACCAAACAACTAAGACAAAATGGAACGGGACAAAAAATGAACGAAGACTGCTGGAAGTAAAGAAAGAAATAAAATAGGAAAGAAAGAAGGAAGGAAGGAAAAAAGGAAGGAAGGAAAGCGGTAAGGAAGGCAGGAAAGAAGAAAGTAATTATTTAAAAATTAAGAGATTGGGAGGCGTAAAGCATAAAGGAAAGAAAGCTGGGATAGAATAAATGAAAACACGAATGAACAATGAAGACAGTGTCAAAGGAAGGAAGGAAGGAAGGAAGGAAGGAAGGAATTAATAATGGCACTAAGCTAGGGTAGCTGGGAGGAATGATAAAGAAATGAAAGAAAGTTAGGAGGGAATTAATGAAAGAATAAATAAAGGAAAGATGGAAGCAATAATAAACACTAAATAACAAGCGAGGATTAAATTAGGAAAAAAAATGAAAGACAAATAGAAAAGAAAGAGCCATAATAAAACGAAAAGAATTGAAAAGCCGAGAAAGGTACGCGTATATAAAAAGAAGAAAAGAAAAGAAGAGCTATACATATGTATATGATAATAAAAGAAAGAGAAAAGTAATGTAAAGGAAATGGAGACATCAATTATATTAAGAAAGGCAGAATGGATGAAAGACAGCATGGATGAAAGAATGATAGAATCGAAAGAAAGAATTGAAAGATAGAGACAAAAAAAGAAAGAAAAAAAGAATGGATGGATGACAGACAGAGTCGAAAGAAAGAGAGAATGGATTAAAGAAAAATGGCGACAAAGAAAGAAAGAAAGAAAGAAAAAAGAAAGAAAGAATGGATAAAAGAAAGATGGTGTCAAAAGTAAAGTAGAAAGTATGTGTCAAAAATGATAGAGTCAAAAGAAAGAAAGAGAGAAAGAGAGGAGGATGGAAGAAAAAGGAAAACAAGAAAGAATGGATGAGAGAAAGACAGAGTCGAAAGAAAGAATTAAAGAAAGATGGATACAAAAGCAAGAAAGAAAGAAAGAATGTATGATAGAAAGATGGCGTCAAAAGAAAGAAAGAAAGAATGTATTAAATAAAGATAGAGTCAAAAGAAAGAAAGAAAGAAAGAGAGAAAAAAGAAAGTAAGAAAGCAGTGAGAAAGAAAATAAATGAAATAAAGGAAGACAAAAGTAGTGGTAAATGGTAAAGAAAAGAAAGAAAACGACTGAAATACAGAGGGAAATACTAACTGCAGAAAATGATCAAGAAAGAATAAAATTAGATGAGGAATAAGAGATTAAACAGATAGGAAAGGAATAAATATGAACAAGAATTAAACAAGAAATTTATATAAAAAAAAGGATTTTACAAAAACAGAGAGGATTATGTCGGCCTTGAAAAAAAATATTTATCGGTGTGGGGAAGGAAACCGAAAACACCACGGTTAAAAAACAGAATAAAAATAGAACTGAATTGGAATTAACATTAAAAGAGTAAAAAACAATGAAAACATTTAAGCTTACACGAAATAGACAAAAAATAATAAAACCGGTGATATTCGTCACGCAAAAGAATAAAAAAAAGAACTTTATAGAAATTAACAAAACCTTTAGCGAGATTTCTTTGAGAAGTTTCTCTTTCTTTCCAGCGATTGGAGAAGAAAAGGCGTACGTTCATGGTTTACAGAGTTAGATGAAAGAAGGAAAATAAAACCGAAAACAAGTTGAATAAATCAGAGAAGGAAAGGAAAAAAGCAAAGGAAATGTTGAATAATAATAGCAATGAAGGACGAAGAATTTTGATATGAGGAAAGGAAGGAAACTTGGTATAAATATGGGTCAGAGAAGAAAGAAGTAAAAAAAGGAATGAAAATGAAGAAATGAAAAAACAACTGCGATACATAAGAAAAGCAAGTATGAATTAAATGAAAAGAATAACAGGAAATATGGTAAACAGAAGCAATAAGAAAGAAAAGAAAGAAAGAAAGAAAGAAAGAAGAAAAAAGAAAGAAGTAGGCGAGGAAAGGAAGAATGAAAGAAAGAGACAAAGTAAGTGATGAAACGAAGAATGAATTAAAGAAAACCAAAGTGGCGAACTAAATAAATAAAGCAAGAAGGAAATAAAAAGTGATGAAAAGAAGAATGAAAGAAAGAAAAAAGAAAAGGTGACGAAAGGAAAAATGAAAGAAAGAAAGAAAACATAAGTGACGAAAGAAAGAAAGAAAAAATAAAGAAAGAAAAAAGTAAGTAATGAAAGAAAGAATGAAAGAATGAAAGAATGAAACGAAAGAAAGAAATAAAGAAAGAAAGAAAGGAAAAAGAAAGTGTGTAAATATAAAAATGGAAACAAAATCGTGATATGATCAAAGATGAATGAAAAACAAGAAAATTTTAAGGTCAGCTAACAAAGCTAAGAAAGAAAGAAAAAAAGAAAGAAAAAAGAAAGAAAAAAGTAGATGAGTAAAAAAAGAATGAAAGAAAGAAAAAACTAAGTGATGAAGTAAATAAATAATGAAAGAAGGAAAGAAAAAGTAATTGATGAAAGGATGATTGAAAGAATGAAAAGTAAGTGATGAATGGAAGAATGAAAGAAAGAAAACATAAGTGATGAAAGAAAGAAAGAAAAAAAAGGAAAAAGAAAAAGTAAGTAATGAAAGAAAGAAAGAAAGAAAGAAAGAAAATGTGTAAATCTAAAAATGGAGAAAAAATCGCGATAAGATGAACGATGAATGAAAAACAAGAAAAATTTAAGGGCAGCTAACAAAGCTAAGAAAGAAAGAAAGAAAGAAAGAAAGAAAGAAAGAAAGAAAGAAAGAAAGAAGTGATGAAACGAAGAATGAATTAAAGAAAACCAAAGTGACGAACTAAATAAATAAAGCAAGAAAGAAGGAAAGAAAACCTGTTGAAAGAAAGAATGAAAGAAAGAAAAAAGAAAAAGTAAGTGACGAAAGGAAGAATGAAAGAAAGAAAACATAAATGATGAAAGAAAGAAAGAAAAAAGAAAGGAAGAAAGAAAAAAGTAAGTAAGGAAAGGAAGAATGAAAGAAAGAAACGAAAGAAAGAAAATCTGTAAATATAAAAATGGAGTAAAAATCGAGATACGATCAAAGATGAATGAAAAACAATAAATTTTTACGGGCTGCTTACAAAGAAAAGAAAAAAGAAAAAAAGAAAGAAAAGAAAAGGAAAGAAAAAAAGAAATAAATCAAGAAAGAAAACATATTTTAATATGAGAAAATATTAAAAGAAAAAAATTATAAACAAAAAAAAAAGATTTATTGAACAATTTGAAAAAAAAAAGCTTACATAATCAAGGAAGAACGTGAAGAGTTAAAGAAAGAACGATTGAAATCATTGACCGTGGGATAAAAAAAAGGCAAAGGAGAACTTAAAAAGAAAAAAAAAAAAAAGGCAAGTGCTTAAAAATCGAAAGAAAGAAGAGAATTCAACTCCAAGGCAATCGAATGAAAGAAATAAGAAACAGAGAATAAAATAAATGAAAAAGGTAGAAAAGATTAACGTGACAAAATCCAGATAACTATAAGAATGAACAATGAAAGAGAAACAAAGAAAGAAGTAAAGATGGGGGAAAAATGTCGATAAAAAAAGAAAAAAAAAGCCGATGAATTTAAAACGAAAATCTCCCTTGAAAGAAAATTATAATTACAAGCAAAATCAATGCGAACGGAATAAATATAGAAAATCATTTTAAGAGAAAAACCAGTAAAATGAGATATTAATTCATGTCGTGTATTCTAATCAGAGTTTTGCGATAAATAGTAACTACAGAGAAAGAATAAAAGAAAGAGAGAGAGAGAGAGAGAGAGAGAGAGAGAGAGAGAATAAGAGTGTGGGGGAGGTGAGTGTTATGTGCCGAACCGCGCCGATCTTAGTGTCGCTCGAGGTGCCGACGTGATTGGATAAAAATCAACCGGGCGAAAATCTCGTTACTCAAGTCTCGTCTTGTCTTCTCTCGTCTTGTGACGCACACACACCTCTCGACAGTATTCAAAATGTGCATATAATTGTTTATTTATTTTTGGTTACTTTCATCATTTTTTTTTAAATGCTTGAAGTTTCTTTGAGTTTTTCGGACTTAAAAAAAGATGATGTCAAACACACACACACACAAAACAAATTACACACACACATATATATATATATATATATATGTGTATATATGTGTGTGTGTGTGTATTCTTGTGTGTGTGTGTGTGTGAGTGCCTGATTCATTAATTTTTGCAGGTATACGCTTACGAGATATGAACGAATACTTTCTATAGATTTGAGATTTCATTTTAAGCCGTTCCTGTCTGTTTTCTGAACTTTATCATGTATTCTGTTACTTTTATTAAATTAAAAAAAGAACGCACAGACATGGAGCAATAGATATTGAGAGAGCAGTCGGAATACTAAAAGAAAATGTCAATAATACATATATATATATATATATATATATATATATATATATATATATATTCATTGAAGGTGGCCGACAAGGAAGACTTAATTTATCTTCTATTGAGTTTTTTTTAGAGCAATCTAACCTTTTTCCATACTTTCAGGGGTTAAAATATATAAAAATTGCCCATTGTTATAATTGTTCCGAACGCTTTTGGCTACTTCACTAGCCATTATCAAGGATGTGTTTTAGATGGTGAAATTCTGTGTGTGACTGTTACATAGTAATTTTACAGCGTAGAGTACGAGCTGTTTCTGTGCTTCTTGTTAGGCACATGATTTTCTCCCAATTATTCTCTTTCGTTAACATCGTAATTTTATCTAGTATTCTTTTCATATTTCGAACAATCCGTTTTGTTTCCTGCCTAATATGTGTTTCACCTTTCATTTTGAACATGTTTTATTGATTTTCTGTTCCTGTTATTGTTCATTCATTGTTTTTTAATCCATTTACCCCAGGGAAGGCGGATGCGTCACTAACACACAAGAGCCTACTGCAAGCGAAAGATCAGTAAAAGTGTTCAGAAAGAACCGAAACCCAATCCTAAACAGGAAACATAAACGGGGAGGAGAGTAAATTGGACGATATGGGATTCGACCTTTATCAATATTTTACATATTATTTAAGTTTCTAAGGACATAACATAAATAATAAAGAAAAATAAACAATAACTTCAGAGACTGCAAGGAAACTGCAAGGAAACTGCCTACAAACAAACATAATATGCAAAACTAAGGAACGCAAACTACACTATAATGCTTTACATTAGTGCCACGGAAGAAACATTCAAACAAAGATAATACACACGACCTCTCATTCTCTCACAGAAAATCTTCCAACAGCACCTCACTCTCCACATACATGTGACAACTAATACACAAAAACATCACACCAAATATAAGCTTGGAAATTATTGAAAAATGTGCCTGCCTATAATAACATATCAAAGAGATGACTATTTTGGCTGCTAGAAAATGTGGCAATAATCACCCACGCACAATAAAAACATTTCTAAATCAAAGATCGAAAATAATCTCAAAATGCAGACACGAAAACAAATATCGATTATCACAGTTCAAACCAACCGGATAGCATCAAAAACAAAAAACAGAACGCTGGGTCAACCAACACACACTAACTAGTCGTGTAATACTCTTATGTTGTATTTACTGTTTAATATATGGTATATCTGTAACACTTGTTTTGTTATTTCTGCAACGATTTAGTTGGTCACAACAATTTTTATGTTATTTTGTGGTGTTGTGGGAAGTGTATATTCGTTGGTAATTGTTGCTTGTATAAGAAGGTAGGTAAGCAGTAGCAGTCACTTATGGACAGCTGCTAGTTTGGCCTAAAGGTTCAACAAGCAATCAAATTGAGGTCACCATAACATAAACAAACAAAATATGAAAGAGAAGGGTATATCAGAAACACTTTATATTTAAATACACATCAATGATAAGTATAATGTTTCTTGATTAACACGCACAAAGTCCGTTATTAAAATGTTCATTCAAAAAAAAAAGAAATCAGATTATGAACGGAATTAAAGTGTCATTTTGTGAATACTTAAGTTTAGGCGTGCAGGTCCCAGGAGATGAAAGGTGAGGTCAATGGGTTGGTAGGTGTCATTTGATATCTCCGTTGGTGAAGGAAAACTGGAGGCGTCGGGTTGATGGGTGAGAAAAGCGTAGCAACATTCTATGACGGTAACTTCAAGGCTTTCTGACCAGAAGTGAATTCATCGTTCTATTTATGTGTGTCCATCGGATCTGAGTCAGTATGCTGAAACAAACTGTTGGATATGGCGCGCGGGTTGCCGTTTAATTGGTGGAAATTGCTTATTATATTTTTTTTTTTTTTTTTGATTTTCCACCGGAACTTATGCGTCGAGCCTGGTGCGCAAAGACCAGTATTGGTCATTTGCTATCTAGACCTCTGAGGGTTAACATCCGGTCCTTCGCTTGCTCAGTACCACCACAATTTCATGTATTATTTTTATTAATTCATTATCTATTTATTCTTTATTCCCTCTTTTTGTTAATATTGCTATTATTGTTATTATCGTGGTTATTATTGTTTCCATCATTATTAAGGATGACTTTACTGTTCAACATAACTGATAACATATCAATTATTATCAATATATCAATAATAATACCACAGGTAATATTACCATTAACATAGTCACAATCGTTAATAACACAATAGCAGTTACTGTTCTTTATAAAATACAACACCATGACCATGTCTAGTAGACCCTGATCATTGAGTGTGGGTATGAATCTATATATGTGTGTATGTGTGAGTGCCATATGAGATTCTCTGAAAAAAAGTCAAAGCTACTCCCAGCCGTGCCCTACTAAGACAAGATTACTCCATGTGGAATACTACAAACTTGACACCGAAATAAACAGAATGAAAACTGCGTACATACGTGTGCACCAACACATGAAACCGTAACTGCGCTTAATCCAAGATCATGAATATTAGCGTGTATATACGAACTAGCATATATACACCTCTGCGTATGTGTGCCTATGTATAAGTGAGTGTCATCGCAAATAAAGTCAAAAGAAAGTTTTCCCCCTTCACCACACACAAATAATCAAACACAAATAAAGCATAAATAGATCCACTTTTGAAAAAAAAAAAAAAGAAACAAACCATTTTGTTTGAAGATCACGTAAGTGTAAAACCCATGGTCACAAGCTACTGTCCATGCATCTACATACAAATGCGCGCGCACACACACACACAGACAAACACACACACACACACACATACACACATATATATATATATATATATATATATATATATATATATATATATATATATATATATATATATATATATATATATATATATTTATACACGTTTCATTAAATAATATAGACAAGTGTTGTCTATTTATTTTATGTAAAATTTGTTCGTAACATCTGATAAGTTTGATAACATTATCATTAAACGAAGAAAGAAATTCACAATATTGATCCATATTTTTTAATATAATCTAAGCTTTCGGCTTACTTAAGCCATTATCAAAGATGTAAATCACAAACATATTAAACAATATACGGACACGACAGTGATGATAGTCTGTCATTGTTTACATAGTTGATCACTAAGCAACGATAAACACACGCATATAAGACACTAGAAGCGAAAATCGCACTGCATCTCATGACGTCACACATGACTACACGAGAGTGAATTGTAGAATGAAGTAAGGAAAGCCGTTGGTATAAACCAATGGCTTCTGTTACCAATTATAGACATTTAAGAATATTTGTAGAGATGCCATAATTGATTTTTTTTAAGTTGGGTTTTAACTTTTTGATGTATAATGCTTCAAGTATTTTTAGTTTTTGTCTATTGTTTTCATGTCGAAGTATAGTTGTGTTTTCGACAAGTATTTTACGGAATTGTGTGTGCGGGCAGGCATGTTTTAAAAGCCTAAAAATTTTAGAGTTTTCATTAAAATGTAGTGTCAAGCGTCGTGAAAGCGAGTTTGTGGTGTATATATATATATATATATATATATATATATATATATATATATATATGCAAAACACAAATGGAAAGGATAAAATGTACATACAATGCAAGCTCAAATACAGTTCTCAATTATATAAAACAGAGTTATATATATATATATATATATATATATATATATATTAATTAATATACATAATATCTAACGTCGATAACACTACTCGGTGTTTCATTAAGTTTTGGGAATCTTCAAATGTGCAT